CCCCAGCTAACACCACCTAGCAGCACAACTCGTAACTACAAAGCATGCGCGCGCAACAGGTCGGTTCCGGTTATTTTTGGGTCCCCCTTCGTATGTATATATATATATTGAGATTTTAGTGGTGATACTTTTAATTCTCTAAAATATTCTCTACATGAATCTCTATCTCTAAATCCTACCATAATTCTAATAATTCCATTTGGTAGACTACAAATACTGCTATAATAAGAATTTCCCCAAAATATTACTCCACAAGTCATGACAGAGTGAAAATAAGAAAAATATACCATCTTCAATGATTCTTGGGACAAGAATGGATTACTTGTTCTAACTGCAAAACAAGCTCAACTTAGTTTAGGTAAGTGGCCTCCGTAGTCTAGGGGTAATGTTCCCACCTCATGACTCAACGTACGCGGGTTCAACCCGGCAGAGGTCGTGGAATTTTTAAGGGCGGAAAAATCCAGGGAACAAGTCCTCCTGTAGGGACTTTAAGCCGTGGGTCCCGTGTCATAGCTTTACGGCATGTAAAAGAACCTCATGCCTCAAGGAAGCCTCTGAGCCAAATTATAAAGGACATCTCCCTCCCAACAATAGTCTCTAATGCCTCTGGTAGATGGGGGAAGCATCTAGATACCGCTGAGCCAGTAGAGGCCGAACTCGCTGGCTGAGTCGGGACTGATGGTACGCACCAGTATCGGTAGGGTATAGAGACTGGTAGAATATTATAGGGGTACGTACAACAGACCACTGGTCCCGGTGCATGGGGAAACCCACCCCCTCCAATAATAATAATAATAATAGTTTAGGTAAAACTGTATCTATATGAGTCTTCCAAGAAAATATGTTGTCCAGTGTTAGCCCAAGGAATTCTATATTTCAAATATTAAATATTTTCCTGTTCCAATGCATTATATTTAAATCAATTAAAGAACTAGTCTTAGTTACAAATTGCATAAATTGTGTCTTACTGACATTTAGTGACAATAAATTAGTAGTGAACCATCTATTTATATCTTGAAAAGCTTTATTAACACTACTTTTAAAACTTATAGGGTTAAGGCTAGTAATAATTACACTAGTGTCATCTGCAAATATAACAACTTCAGCATTATCATTTATTGTTTTTGGTAAGTCATTAATATAAAGTAAAAAAAGCACCTGACCAAGTATTGATCCCTGTGGAACACCATGCTTTGTCTCTCCCCAGTTTGAACAGGAGTCAGGGGAATTATTGTTTAAGCTCAACCTTTGGTATCTACCCCCTAGGTAAGATTAGTTTAAGAGAGGTTCCCATTATTCCATAAAACTCTAATTTTGTCAATAAAATGTTGTGATTAACACAGTCAGAAGCTTTCTGTAAGTCACAAAAGATGCCTCTAACCATTATTATTCAACATAGTATCTCTTCAATCAATTTATAGAAGGCCTTCTCTATTTATGCAGAAGGTCTGAAACCAAACTGTTACTCTACTATAATGTTACTAATTTCAATATGTCACAAAAGTCTTTCACATATGATTTTTTTCAAAGACCTTAGACAATGAAGTTAATAAAGAGATTGGCCTGTAATTAGTCATATTTTTATCACCCTTCTTGAATAATGGTTTTACAATAGAATAACTATAATGAGTATTCCAGATATTACAGATTTATTACAAATACATAATTTAAGAGAGAACTAATAAAAGGAGCACTGACCTTCAATACTTTTGTAGAAATTTCATCATAACCATGTGAATTCTTTATTAAAGATTTGATAACTGTTTCAATTTCATATCATTAAGATAATACACTCTTGGAGGCTACTATACTGTTACAGAGAAATCTCTTAGAATAGTGGGTAGGAGAGAGGAGGATAACATTAAGATGCATCTCAAGAAGATAAGTTGTGCCTCAAGATCATGTCCAATCATAGGCTTTGATGCTAACATTGTATTACCTCTGGGTTCTACTACAAAAGAGATACCAGAAGTTTAGCAAAGTCTCACCATTTTCCGTGATGTGGTCGCACCAAGATATGTTTATGTGAGTCAGATATGGGCAGCCATCAGCAAGAGCCTTGAGTGACTCATCAGAGATGGCTGAGCAGGAGCCAAGGTCAAGGCGCTGCAGCTTAGGACAGTGGCGGCTCAGCGACTGACAGGTGCTGCCACAATAAAAGTCAACATTTTAATGCTAAAACAAAGGGTCACTACAAAAATTTGAGCTTCAATTCTACCAACTGGGTCACATGTAAAATAACAGAGAAAATTTATTTAATCAGCTACTTTGTTCATTTGAACTACTTACTATTCTGTCTTTTTCATCTATAATGTTGTCAGACCTGCATGACCTCATTCTGTTGACAGCCACACTCTATACAACTACAAGGGTGAGTCAAATGAAAACCTTAAATTTGTAATAAAAAATCGAAATTTCATGCCATTATCCTATAAGTTGGTAAGCATGCTACAAACAGCATGCAGAATGGCCTGTAGGTTGCAGTATAGTGCAGATGCACAAACACTGTCACAGCACCAGTATTAGATGGCTGCCCCACTTGAGACTTGCACCAGGGAAGAACAGCGTTCTGTTATTCAGTTTTTGTGTAGTGAAGGGGTGAAACCTATTGAAATTTATCGAAGAACAAAGTTTCAGTATGGTGATGCACAAGTGACACTGAATGAAACTGCAGTAAGTTTAAACATTAGTCATGGTTCAGCACACCATATTGTGCACGATGTGCTCCAGTTTCACAAAGTGTCCGCAAGATTGGTGCCATGGCAGCTGACTCCTGAATTGAAAACCGACGTATTGATGCTTGTGAAGAACTTCTGCGGTGCTTTGAACGAGAAGGTGATGACTTCCTTGCAAGAATCGTTACTGGGGACAAAACCTGGGTTCACTTCCACCAACTGGAAATTAATAGAGCGAGCAAGGAATGGCGCCATTCCACATCTCCAAAACCGAAGAAGTTTCGAACACAACCATCAGCAGGGAAGGTTATGCTGACTCTCTTTTGGGACAAAAAAGGCGTCATCTTGGAGCACTACACGCCTAGAGGGACCACTGTCACCAGTGCATCATACTCGGATCTCCTAAAAAAATCATCTTCGGCCTGCAATCAAATAAAAGCGACGTGGATTGTTGTCCACAGGTATCCTTTTGAAACATGACAATGCAAGGCCCCATACTGCCCGTACAACAGTCGCGACAATCAATGACCTGCATTTTGAGTGTCTTCCTCATCCGGCACACTCACCATATTTCCATATGTTTGGACCACTCAAAGAAGCAATGGGAGGAAAGATGTTCCTTCTGATGAAGAGGTATGCCACACGATGCATGAGTGGTTGCATGGACTACCAAAAGAATTTTTTTCTAAAGGAATTCACGCACTTTGTAAGGGCTGGAGGACTTGCATTGAGTGTGGGGGAGATTATGTTGAAAAGTGATACAGCTTTGTACCACTTGTGCACAATAAATAATACTCGAAAAAATATTTAAGGTTTTCATTTGACTCGCCTACGTATTTGCCTGCACTCCCATTATTTCTGGTATATAAATGATTTAATTTTCCATTCAGAAAAGTTGTATGGCATCACAATTAAAAGTGAAATGAGTATCAGGATACAGGATGAATGAAGGGAATGAACGCATATATTGTTGCACCTTGCCATGTGACTCAATACAAATAATATTTACTATATTCCTGTCAACACAACACTATCTCCATCAAGTGGAGTTTCCTGTCTAGGACAACATGTTTCAGCACATATGTGCCATCTTCAGGTCTGGTTTTTGGTTACAATTATTCTATCATGTATACTTAGTATAGATAACTACATGAACTACATAGATAATATTATCCAAGGGAAAGAAACTGCTGACCAACTGGCAAGAACATGTTCTGTACATCATATTACATGATTTGAACTAGCCTGCAGCATTTCAGAATTTCACTAAATGGGCTGTCAGAGGCTGGATGAACAGAAAACACAATGAATACTAGAAATTCAAACCTGGATCAGAATGAAATTTTCTTCAGGAACCTTCTGTTGGAAGAACTAGGAAAATATGAACCTGCTGAACTAAGTGACAGCATTACAATAACACCCCATTTAAAGTTGCGAATGTATTCCTGGAAATGGGACTCCTAAATGAATCAGCATTGTTACGTAATTTCAGTATAGCAGCTATGGTGATGCATTCTTAAATTTGCAATATTACAATTATACAAGTAAAATGACTAAATATGGTTAAACTACTTTTATTTAGAATTCATACAAAATATGTATACTATAAATAGCTTGGCCCAACACAAAGAGGTGGTAATGTACCAAAACCACATGCAGAGTCAACTAAATGTCTTGATATGAGGAGCCAACTGACTGAAATGACTCAATGGCTAGGATAGTAAACACTGTTTCTATTCTAACTGCAACAATACTTTGCATCACACTGTGTCACAGCTATTTAGTAAAAATTGTTACCCGAATAAAGGGCAGTATAAATACTCAGCACTATACAGGCATTACTGTACTTATGTCACTTATGGGGATACCTACTCATACAGAGACTGGGAATACAGTCCCACACGTGATGTCACAACAAAGAAGAAACAGCCTTACATGTCCTGCAAAAGTGAAGTTCTAGCTGAATTAAGATTAAGGAGACTTACTTCATGAACATGAAACAAAGTGCCTATCAGAAGGGCCCATTAAATTAAGTACTGCACTTCATTCAAAGTGCAGGACTGCTAGAAAGCTGCATAGTAGACTGACGACAGTTGTGGTGCAAGGGTCATTAAACATCCATCTCTTTAATCAGTAAGGCATCGTAACCTTAGAAGTGAAAACAACAACCCTGTTGCAGTTACACTAGACCATGCTCACACATATTCCCTACATACAGCAAAACTGCAAGTTCCCATCAGACCAGAGCCATGACAGGTGCCAAAACAAGAGGGCAGAGCATGAAGGGTTTCAAAATGAGGAATGAATCACTCTGTGCAGAGGGCTAAAATAGCAATCATAAAAAGATTCTCCCAAAATGAAGTGATATCAACAGCTTCGTTTACATGTCATTCTACTGTAAATTATCTCATGTGAAATTTAGTAAATAAATCATGAAAGTCAAATAGCTACATTTCATGGCCATCACAGTAGAATTTAACAGTGACCTGTAATAATACAGTACAAGTGACCAAATAGATTTCATTGTCCATAAAACACAGGGTTCATACACACAAGCACAAATACATACATCCATTCCTATGCACTGGTCCATTCAACTCACTCCAGCTTTATGGGAAGAGCACTCAACTAGTTTTTATTTTTATTTCATGCATCCTCTTAAGTACACCAATTTCCAAAAAGTATCCAACTTTATGTTTTGCCGCTGTAAGTAATGACCTAAGGGGTGGGGAAACTGAGTGTAGTGGTAGAACGGACTTCCATGCGCATGTGTGATTTTTTGCTGACTCGCAATACTGCCGGATGCGTCTGTGGCTGCCAGATAGCAAAGTGGCGTAACACATGTTCGTCACATTCTCATTTCACTTAAGATGACAGAACGCTTTGAGCAGCAATACTGCATCAAGTTTTGACAGAAACTTGGGGATACCCAAGTGGAAACAATCCACAAAATTCAGTAGGCTTTCAGCGATGATGCAATGTGGGTCATTCAAATTAAAGAGTGGTTCAACAACCGCTTTAAAGATGGCCGTATGTCAGCAGACAGTGACCAGTGTTCCAGGAGACTGTCAACGAGCCAAAATTCTGATGTCATTGAAAAAGTGATGTAGGACCATCGTTTGACCATGCGGGAAGTTGCTGATGAGGTTGGGATCAGCAGAGGTTCCGCAAAACACAATTTTAACACAGGATTTGGGCATGCAACGAGTGATGGCAAAATTTGTGCCCAAGCTGCTTTCGCCAGAGCAGCAACAACTCTGCCTTGAGGTCACGCAGGACATGCTGGAGTGCGCCAACAGGGATCCTGAGTTCCAGAAGACTGTGATCACTGGTGACAAGTCATGGACGTATGGATATGACCCGGAAACCAAGGTCCAGGCATCACAAAGGAAGCATCCAACATCCCCGAGGCCCAAAAAAGCACGACAGGTTCGGAGCAATGTGAAGGTGATACTGACTTTTTTTCCGATTACCAGGGTGTTGTGCATCATGAGTACGCACCACTAGGCCAAACTGTCAATAAGGAGTACTACCAAGAAGTCCTCCGCCATCTTCATGATGCAGTTTGGCGCAAGAGACCGGAGCTGTGGGACACACGCAACTGGCAGCTGCATCATGACAATGCCCCAGCTTATTCATCACACCTGATCCAGGGTTTCCTGGCCAAGCACGGCATTCTGCAGGTTCACTAGGCTCCCTACTCCATGATATAGCTCCTTGTGATTTCTGGCTGTTCCAGAGATTGAAGACACCGCTAAAAGGCTCCCGTTTTGACAGCCGCGAGGACATCATATAGAACGCGACAGCGCAGCTGCATGCCATTCCAAAAGAAGCCTTCCAGAATTGCTTCCAGCAATGGAAGGGCCGCTGGACTAAGTGTGTGGAGTCACAAGGGGCCTACTTTGAAGGGGATTAGGTACTGTAACCACGCAGATACAGAATTTTGTTTTCCCGGCCCAAGGTCGGATACCTTTTGGACAGAGTAGTATATATGATATTAAGGTTATAGTACTGTCACACAACATTTTGATTATTGTATAATAAAATGACTGATAATAAGTGAAACATGTTTCAGTCTCTTTTGACCATCATCTGGCATTTGTAATTATAAAGCAATAAATATATAATGTTCATGCTCTGAATTCTTTGATATAAAATGGATCAATTTTTCAATATCATAAAGTTTAAAGTTGTGTACATGTTAGAGGTTGAATATAGAAAAATATATTTGCAATGATTAAGAATTATTACACTTTATAAAATATAGATATAATAAAATGTAGATATATATAACAAGCGGCCTACATGGTGGTCACAGTGTGCAATATTGTTTTTTATACCTACATTTTTATTATATACACATTTTACAAATGTTAATAATTCTTTATCATTGCACATATACTTTTGTATATTCAATCCATAACACATTTAAAATTTTTAATTTGATGACACTGAAAAACAAATCCATTTTTCATTACATAATCCAGCATAAACATTGTTTATTTACTGTCTTCATTCCTACATGCCTGATGATGGTCAAAAGAGACTGCAACATATAGTGTGATTAATATACTAAACAGACAGACTTATCTAGTTTTGTTTAAAAATCAAATGTTTTATTATACAATAATCAAAATGTTGTTAATATCATGCAATAAGTGTTCGGAAAAAAATGCTTAGGAAGAATTTTGGACCTAAGACAATTCTAGTGTACTTCAGTCAATGACGCTGTCATTAACTCAAGCTTATTAAGAACTGAATGATTATATGATGGCAAATAATGAACTGGAAAGGATGTGGAAGGAAGTGGTCATGACTTAATTTAAGGTACTCTTCTGACACTTGTCTGGAAAGACACACAAACCACAAAAAACCAGTAAGGATAGTCAGTGTTACAGCAGAGATTCAAATCACTTGATGCTTAATATACTGTATAATGAGTAGCACTGCAATTTGTACCCACAATACTGTTATAGTAACTAAATGACAAAAGAAAAAACAGATGGAACATGCTCCATACACAGGGCCAATGAGAAGCCAATAAGCCAATAAGCATACTTCCAAAGAGCACACCCAACAGAGCAAAAAATACAAACTCGTGGGTTCCATAAAATCAGGGTTTTTCATGCCCAGCTGAGTACAATCAAATTCTCAAAGAGTCCCTATCCTATGGAGTTAGATGGGAACCATTGCTCAACTTTTACATAGATACTAAAAGAATAGTTATATCACTGGAAGTATGCAGACTCTCCCAAAACATAACATGTTAAATGGTGTATAAAAAACCCATACCTGTCTGTAATATTCTTACAGCCATTGAGGTTCAGGTCTTCCACATTGTTACATTTCTGCGCAAATGTCTTCATGGAGCCATCAGCTATTGACTGGCAGCCACGGAGACTCAGCTTGCGCAGAAACCCTCCACAGCGTCGCGAAATGTTTTCAATGACTGGACCCTGCGGAAGGTAGGAGACACTCATGAATGTAACTTCAACTTGAAAAGATTATTCAACTGCAGAATGAAGTAGATATGTTACTGCCATAAAGTCGATACAGTTTGTCTGCCTTCATACCTCAACATCAGTCTGAAAGTCAAAGAGATCTATCCGTTGCCAATTGCTGCCATCAAGTGCCAGAACATTCCAGGCCTTAGAAACTTGTGCACATCGACACAGGGATACCACATCAAGGTACGAGAATATCCTGCAAGAAATGCGTTCTTTTAGTATCTCAATGCATTACTTTGGTCATGGACCATTCACAGAACTAAGTGAACAGTTTACATTCCAACATATAAAATTAACATATGGAGTACATGAGTTTTAAAAATGAGGGGAAATTCTCAGCAATTATGAACGGAATTCAGAATTTATCCTGGCCTTTCTGAAAAGTAAACATAAGCCATGACGTACCTACCAAATGATTCCTTTTTAAAGAGTTAAAATTTCAGAAGAGCAGCTGATGTGGGACTGACGGTATTTTGCTACTCATATATTAATGGATAACCCAAGTAACTTTAAAACTTAATGCCATGTGGTGAATGCTGAAGAAGGCTCCATCATCTCTTCAGACAGTTGATGAGAATACAAAATGAAGGATCTGGATGACATGGGTCTTATTCATTTGAAAGTAAACCATATCTGCATCGCTCTGAACACCAGAGTGTGGCACGTAAGTGGGAATCAGGCAAACAGCACAACAAGAAGCATCAACGTAATGCACACACCATCCTGAGGCTCACTTGGACAGCTCATGTGACAGCGTCAAGTCAACAACAGGATACTTTGGCAGCAAATTTTGGAAACAAACAACACTGACCACCAAAGACAGAAATGTAACTTTCATTGCTCCAATTTTCTTTCCTGAATAAATCTTGCCAAAAAAAAGATTCATAGAAGTTATCCATAAAATTCTTTGAGTCACCTGCTGATTTCTATTCATAAGCAGCTGAGAATGTTCATGTGCTAATGGTCAAAGTTCATCACAGTTCTCGAATAGCCAGGAAGCATAAAATAAAGGGAAAAGAACTGATAACCCCCCTTCCACCCACACATGCATACACAATAAAATAAAACTGAATTTGTAAATTCAAGCTTTGGTATCACACATAAAAGTTTCATGTGAAGTTTACATTCACTTTTAATTTCTCTAGCAAAAAGCCCACATACTTTGTCTGAAGAGAGTTTGGTACCTTGATGTAAATGTGATGAAAACTAAAGAACTCAGAAGCCAACAATAACCCAATTCTGAGCCATCTTGTGTATGATCAACTAACTTCTCAAAAATGCGAGATTTCATGTTCTCATGGCAGTCACTATGAAAATAACTGTCTTTGGGATATGCAAGCCATGTAGTCTGGTATATGTTTTCAAATGTTTTAGAAGAACATACTGCCTCCATCTTCAGGGTAGATGACTACTCACCACTGAAGATAAAGGAAATATATTCCTCTTAAACATCAGTTAACAACTAGAATACATGGCAACACATCTCAGAACACAGTAGCAATGTTAAATTTTGGAAGGACCCTGGATAATAGAATAAATACATTAGTCACATGTCACACAATACTTATACCCAGTGGAATTAAAACATTAATGTTTGTGAACCCTGCAAATAAAGGTAGCCAAACAAGGCCTTGATAAAACAAAAACAAATTACACTGTATTTGAATATTGCTGGCTTCCTATATGCAGCATTATGTAGTCCGGTAGATATTTATGAATGTTTCAAAGGACACTGCTGCCTCCATCTTCAGGCTATCCTCTAGATACAGGCAGCAGGTTCTTGTGACACACTATTAAGTATCTATCAGACCATATGGCATCATATTCCAGCAGAGCCACTTCTGTGAGAGCCTCAAATTTCAAAACATTTTATTCATTACAGATCAAAGTTACCAAAAAACAAATCAGACCTACCATGTTCTTGAGAGTAATAACGATTTCCTGATTAACATATAATTATCCATATGACAAATCCCATTAAAATCTACATGATAATTAATTTCATATGTTCTTATGTAACATGTCATTAACCATATCTGCTAAACTTCCTAATTCAAACAAGTTGATACTTCAGTATTAATCTAATTCTGCTGCCATCAACAGTCACTTGGAAACACAATGTGAACAATAAAAATATAAACACAAGCAGATTACTGATTAATAAATTCAGCTGTTATCGAAGTCAGCTGAGAACTCTTCAATCACAGCTAGGAAAAACATGGGCACATTTGAAAGATATTACTTTGTCAAGGCTCCAAACTTATTATTCAACATGCTAATTTTAAAGGCATAAAGACTAAAAATTAAATCTAATGGAACCATTCTTCATGTATTTCTTATGAAAAATATTCACCAAGACTTGGAATCAAACCCATAACAGTGTATACTGTGTAACTATGTTCAGGTTACTTGAAACAATTGTCTGAAATCTAATCTTTCTACACCAATTTAAACCTTTTTAAGTTTTTCTGATAAAAAGAACTTATTCCATGAATATTTGTGTGCATGTAAGTCATTTGCACTTTCAAGACTAATGGTTAACACATTGAGGACCGGTCGCATGATATCATGCTTTTGGCTTTTAAACGTGGCTGACAGGTTGCATGATATCATGATTTCAGAACACGTTAGGCTGTAACACACTGTACCTTGCTCTGGCATCACCCAAGTTGCATGTAATGGTGTAATAAAACTCTGGAATGTTTGCTTACTTGTCAGTAACTTGACCTCGCTGTTTTCTTAACGCACTATAAACGAAAATGCTTTGCTGCTCTTCAAGCTGTATGTACAAGGCAGTAGTTAGTGGTGGGGTATGGACAGGGACAAATTTTTCTCCGATGAGCCAGCTGACCTGCCTTGAGAGACCCTAGTTATGGTGACTGAGAGAGCGGCAGTGACAGGGGAGAACAAAGAATTGTGGCCACAGACAGTAAAGTGACAGTAGCTCCGACGATAATGGGGGTAATAACATTGCAGGGACAGTAACAAATATAAAAAAATCACAAAAATCTAAACCCTGATTCGAAATTGAAATACAACGCATTTCTAATGAATGTGGCAAAGGCCTGGGCTACAGACCAGATGGTGGCGGCAGAGCCAGAGTCAGACAGAGACTTAGTGCGACCAAGCCCATCAACTCCTACCCCACGCAGGCCTCATGTGGACCCCCCAGGGTGACTCTCGGGTGATATGCGGAAACATACCCTGGTGAAAATTGTGAAGAGTGAACATTCCAAGGGAAAGCATCCTTCTAGGCAATGCAGTGTTTCCACAGTTCACAAAAAAAGGAGTATGTCTACATTTGCAAGTTCTGTATAATGCCACTTCACAAAGGGGAATGTTTCCAGAAATATCACACTCTCAAGCACTTCTAGGAGCACTGGTAAGTGTTCTCCAAAAATTTTAGTTCATGAAATTAATTAGGAGATTTTATATTAATTTTTAAAGTGAACAGTGCAAGTGTTAGGATAGTAGGTTTAATAATGGCAGTCCCCAGGGTGATTTAAATATTTAAATTGCCAGTCCTTAATGTGTTAAAATGTGGCATTGGATGTAAAATTTTCAGCCCACTTTCCTTACATTGTATAGAAAAAACAGGCTTAAGCCATCATCAAGGCTGTATGCATATATAGCCATCTCTAGTAGCTTTATAAAAGTATGTATATATCAGCATAACACCAAGTGAAACTTTCATACTAATAATTTCCGCTGCTTTCTCCCAGATTTCTTTTCAATCCTATATGTTAGGTAATGACATTCCAAGGCCATTGATTTGCACCATCTCCCACAACTAACATGCACCAACAGTCAACAATAAACAATCTCCAGTATATGGAAACTTAGTTTCAGCCTTGCACAACAGTATTCCAGGCAGAAATGTATGCCATTAAGGTATGTGCAGTTAAGAATCTAGATAGAAACTATAAAAATAGGAACACTATATTCTGTCAGATAGTCAAGCTGCAAATAAAGCACTTGGTACACACCAGATCACTTCAAAACTGGTCTGGGACTGACACCAATCTCTCATACAACTAGCCAAACATAACAAAGTTCAACTGATATGGGTGCCAGGTCATGAGGGTATTGCTGGGAATAAAACTGCAGATCAGCTGGCATGAACAGGGTCTGAATATCTGTTCACAGGACCTGAACCAGCTTGTGGCATCTCAACCGGAGTTGCCATGAAAGCGATGAGGGACTCGACATATAGAAATCACAAAAAAACACTGGGAATCCACAACTGGACTCAAACAGGCAAAGGGCTTTATATTAGGACCCTCTACCAGAAGAACAAAGGATCTGTGAAATTAAACAGAGACCAATTAAGATGGGTGGTAGGATTACTTACTGGACACTGCAACCTAAAAGGACATCTTTTGAAACTGGGATTGACAATGACCCAACCTGTGAAAGGCACCTACAAGAAGACATCTCAGCCACACATATCCTGTGTGATTGTGAGGCCATAGCTTATTTAAGATTTCATCACCTGGACCACTTCTTTATGGAACCGAGTGACTTTTATGATGCCCCCATAAACAAAGTCCTACATTTCATTCAAGGTGTAGGATTAATAAAGGGTTAATCCAAAGGGGAAGCACAATAGATCACTGAAGGTCGCAGTGGGAGAGCCAGATTTTATGGCCCACCCCTTACACTTACTACACTACTATTACTACATCTCCGGTACATAAAACTGTAAGGCAAAGCTCTCCCTGTAATAGGCCGTGGAGGACCTTTGGTTTGTGAGATGTCGAGGTTCCCATATCTTGACAATCGGCTCACAGATGGTGCTAAAATTGTCAGCCTTATGTGCTGGCCGCTCTTTAGCACCAGGAATATTTATGGTACTCATTTATGTTAGAGGCTGAGTTGACCCCAAGGCCATAGTGCAGCTGGAAGGATTAGGTCAACTGAAAAATTTAACGATCTCATCGGGAATTGAAGCAGTGACCTACTGACTCATAGCATAGTGCCTCAACTCCACTACTGTGTACCCCTTCCAGTATATATCCACATTAAAATATTTATCAGTACTCATAGAACAGACATGATGCACTGAAACAAGAGTACATTTGCTCCTGCATGACCTCTTAAATAATTTATATCCATGCAACAAGTTAACATTTGAGAGTTCATTGTTATGGTAACCTGAAACTATATAATAATAATGATGAACAGCATAGCTATCATAGCAGTAAATTGCAGCTGACCCTCACCAGCACAGTTCATGGTTTTGGGCCCTCTCAAAACCAAATTTTTGTTCATTCAAGGCCATTTACATGTTTGGAAATGGTTCCTCCTCTTTGGTGAGAGGAGGGGTTGGTCTGTGTAGGTACAGTTAATGAACCGTAATTCAGCATGAGTGCACCTGCACTCACACAGCAAACAGGTAAGGGTATTTATACTTTATGGACACCATACACAATTTTTCACTTTATTTCACTGCATTCAAAGAGTGAGGAAACTTCGCTACCCTGCTGACCGCACCCAAAATTCCTCACAGATTGCTGCTGTAACTCCAAATAGGAGAATGAGTCATTTGCGTTGATAACACACACGGTCGGGTGGCGTGATCTTGTAACTGCAGTGAAGTCGCAGTAATAGTCCAGTCTGTGTTAGAGATTTTGATAGGTGGTCAACATTTATACTGAAATGAAGTTCACTACTGAACAGCATGGGTTTATTGTGAAAATTTTTTTCAAGGAAAAAAAACTCACAGAAAATGTATCAGTAAGTTTCATCATAAAATCCTGATGCGCCAGTTCCCACAAAGTCATGCGTATCCAAGCTTGTGAAAAAGTGGCAGGTCATAGGTTCAGTGTGTGACATAAAGAAGCAATCAAAGAGGATTATGCTAACTGAAGAAAAAGCTTGGGATATTGTGGCACAACTACAGATCAGTCCTCGAAAATCATTAAGATGCTTAGCACAGAAAACCGGTGTTTCACTAGGATCTGCTTTCACAGCCATAAAATTGATGAAATTTTGCCCATATAAAATAACAGAATGAAATAACATGTGTAATTAGATCAATTACTATGGACCAACTTCAGAAAGTGTTGCATAATTTATTTATGTGATGCAAGGCATATTTGCAAGCAGAAGGGGGTCACTTTCAGCACCTGTTATAAAGCAAGATAAGTTTGTGTTATCTTTTTATGATATTCTTATAAATGTGTGCATGTAAGGAAACTGATGTGAGGGAATAGTTGCAGAGAAATGATCCATCCGCTCTATGCTAGCGAGAGTGCATGTTTATCAGCACTGGTGACTCATTCCACTATTGGCAGTTACAGCAGAAATCTGTGAGAAATATTGTATCCAACTCATGCTACTTCCCCGGTTTTGTCGATAACTGAACATCCTGTATAATGAATAAGATATAGACAGGAGTCTGTCAATGCAGGCATGTGCAACAGGTTATGCCTTAACTTGTTTGACAACTCCAAAAGGCATCTGAATGGTCTTATGCTTAACTGTTGCAAAGTTTAAGCTTCTTATACTTTCATGCATGGCTTCTCCTTGTCCAATCGCACGTATATTTGGATTTTGATGATTATGGATAACTTCTGCCTGCTTCCTGCATAATTTATTTATGGGTAATAATAAATCTCACACAAAACGTTTTTATAAACAACTACAGTAACCAGGAAAACATTCCATGTAAGCAACAGAGGATTAAATGACTCCTGTATTTTATACATAAACTGATGATGATGAAAATAGTGACAACAAAAAACAGAACAAATGCCTGGCATTTCTGTTAGGTATGCAATGTGCTTATATTCTCAGTTCTCCTATCATTTCTTCTATTCACACATAACATTATTACTGTGAAGAGTGTACTCAGATGAAAACATATGCAATTCATCTTCAACGAGGATAATAAAAATGTTTGTAATATATGACATTTATGAAGGGAGCAGACATGATCTACTTTAAAGCACTCTACCAGTTTCTCTAAAGGATCTGAGGAAAACGACCCAAGTACCATACTCAAAATAGACAAACCACAGTCTTACACAAACTGGAGCTGATACTATAGGTCTCCAAATGCTGATTCTACAACTCCATATTACAGTGCATTCATATTAGCAACTATACTTCCTTATGCTAATGTCCAAGTAAACCAACTTACCTAAGCAGCAGTTCTTTTGGCAACTTCTTATTAATTTGGGCATCATCATCTGAAAAGACTCTGGCAAGCTGTGAACAAAAACAACACAGTTCTGCATTGCTTCTTGTTCATGACTCATGTACCACTCCATTCCTACTGCTACTTACCCTCCCATCAAACTGCAGGTACATTGCAAGAGCAGGGTGTACCATTTTCCCACCAATAAATCCAAGCAATGTTGCAGCTTCAAAAATATGATGGATACATCTACCTTGATTCTAGATGAACAATTGCAACACAGTGTCAACCTACGATTCCAAGTTGTCACACACATTGAAAACAAAAATGCGGGCCATTGGGTTGTTACAAAGCAAGTAGTGTTAGCGACAGACAGAGTTGTTTGTACCTGCATGTAGCTTTGCTTCATAGTGCACACTGAGAAATTAGATCGCTCTTTCTTGCTGCGGCCTACAGACGGCACCCACCAAGGTCTCACCGCAGCCTGCGCAAAAACAAATAAAACAAAAACAAAAAACACAAGACTAATAAAGTGATAAAATATCATGTCCAAATGTGAAATATTAACTCAAAAGAACTTAAGACCTCACACAGAAATTATACGAGCTTGCCATTATGATTACTTCTATCTTGTGTGTGCGTCATAATTTTAAAGATTATAATTAATATAACTGCACTTCATTATATTCGATTTCGAAGTGGCGCTTGTCCGATGTATCACAACAAAGGAGACGAGAACATGGACTATCAAGGCCACGGGCCCGTTGATCACAAAACTATGTATTCCTAATATTAGCTTTACCTTTTCGAAGCTGCAACACTACTTATGGGTAAATGACAATCCAGACCTTTAAACGTGGCTTATTGTTATCATTTAAATAAAAATGAAGGAACGATAAGCCACTGTGCTCACGGACGACTTAACCTTGGCCCCGGCCACCCTTCGGCTCAAAATCAGCTGTTTACTCGGCCCTGGGAATGGCGGATATCAGTTGAATAGAAGGAACACTTTTCGGAGCTCGCACAGTTTTAATACAATTATTAATGAGCAAAAATTTTAACGCCATCTTACCTCCAATTTATTTCTGTTGGTGTGTATCATGGTGGTACTTCACGGTATTTCCCTTATTTACAAATATTCTACTTAAAACCGAACATCAACAAAGAATCGAAATACCAGACGAAATATTTTCCGAGGCTCTACACATCTAAACGAGTCTCTGATTGGAGGATGCATACACAATAATTTGGCACTTCAACGCGCATTTTGGTGAATTTTGCGTAAAACTGGTACATTCTTGACCACAGAGCGTTGCTGAATATGTGGATATTAATCTCGAGTTGTTTACCAATGCAATTGTTATGGTCTGTCACGTTTAACAAGCAACCTTGGTGACAGTGAAGAAGTGACATCCACACTTTGGACCAATACACAAGATCGTCTCATCATGCAACATGAGGATTGGTGGATTCGATCCAAACAAAAACAAATCCCTCCTCCCAAGACTTGTTGTGATGACGTCATAAGCGGGGGTCGATGTACAGCAGACATCCAGGCAGTGCGTTTCTGCAACTTACTTCACTACTTTCCCATAAAATGTGCGATTCTCTAACCCGAAGAGATATTGCAATAACTTTCCTTCTCCAAATAGACTTTTGCACATTTAGCAGTAACAACTTTCCTGCTAAGTTCCGCGCCAATTACGAATCACGGATCACAATAAACCATGTTTACTACTGTGGCCATTGTTGGCTACCCTGCCTGTTAAATGCGGAAGAGTCGTAATCAGAGTTTGCTAGCATTACAATCCTCTGGAGAGAGACTATATACAGATTCTGAGGTTCTCACCACTTTGGTTATGAAGAGTTCTGTCTTCTACGAAGTAATGCCGTGTAGTCCGTTAAAGTCAACAGAGGTTTCGGAGCTTCAAGATGGTTTCTTGCTTGACTTATTCTTCAACCCTGAAGATGTAGGTGACGTGTTTCTCCAAAATGTCGGTTGACTTTGAGCGGACTACATGGCATTATATCCCAGACGAGGGAACCCATCACACCTATGTAAGATTTGAAGTTACCTTCAGACCTAGTACACAGCTTATTTCTCTAGGATAAATCCTTTTATTCGTGGTTAAAGCTTTCAAACTTAAGGGATGTTTTAGAATTTCACATTTCTGCCATACACAGGGCTAAAACACTTTCATGTCGTGCTCAACAATTAAAAAAAACGAAACACTCCACAGCCCACTTCTGCACATTATCAAAGTTATGTACGATTATCAGGTCACTATGATATTCAATTTTCTTATTCTAATTGAGCTGGCACTTGTTGTCCATTTGGTAGAAGGCTGTGACGGAATGCAGTTGTATAAATATATAAATATTCATATGTATTGTGGAAGTGTGATATGGATACTAGAACAGTTTTGATGGTTTTGATATTTAGAAGCGAGAAACTTCTTTTAAGCTATATCCTTAATGCATAAATATAAAAATGAATGATCGAAAAACGTCAGATAGTTTTAAAAGCCATGTCGGATTTGAAGATGATTTCCAAGTAAAGAAGAAAATATTCTAATAGTATAGGATTGGACCTGTATGACGTTTGTATAATCAGCTTATAAGTCTGCATATTTTAAGCAGGTTATGAACGTTGTTGAAGCTATAAATTTTGTATACATATGAACGAGAGCCCCTCTTATAATTTAATAGGTTATGGTTGTAAAGTGTTTTCATTTTGCAGCTAATAATTATCTCGAAGAATTCTATCTTCTCGGATATAACACCGTGTAGTGCATTGGAAGTCAACCGACGTTTCGGAGGAACATGTTGCCTCGGTCTTCATGGTCAAAGAATAAACTAAGCAAGAATCCAATGCAAGTGAAGCAGGTAGCAAGTGGGGCTACATGTTTCTCCAAAACATGAGTTAACTTTCAGCAGACTACAGTGTGTAATATCCCAGGAGAAAGAAATCTTCATATCCACTACTGTGAGAATCTCAAATCCTAGGTAATTATCCAGACATACATGTTTTTCAAGATGTGAGATGGGAAAGATGCATGCAAAGTCAGAAAGAAAGGTCTGTTATCTGGTAAAGATTTAAACATATATACTGTCATCTTAGGGCACAGTACTGTACCTGTTGAGGCATTATGCTACAAGCCAGAAGGTCACAGATTAAATTCCCAATAATGTCACTGGATTTTTCAATTTACTTAATCCTTAAACATATATACTGTCATCTTAGGGCACAGTACTGTACCTGTTGAGGCATTATGCTACAAGCCAGAAGGTCACAGATTAAATTCCCAATAATGTCACTGGATTTTTCAATTTACTTAATCCTTCCATCCATACTATGGCTCTCAGGTTGATTCAGCCTCTAACAGAAATGAGTACCAGGAATCTTCCTGGGGGTAAAGGGCGGCTCTCCAGTGTGTAAGGCTGACAACCTCACCGCCATCTGTGAGCCAACTGTCTAGAAAATGTGGCAGCCTCAATATCTCACAACCCTATGTGCTTCCACGGCCTGTTACAGAGATAGTGTCACTTAAAATCACTGGCATCTTTGTGCTGAATGTCTAGAAAATGTGGGAGTCTTGATGTGTCACAACCCTATGGGACTTCACAGCCTGTTACAGGGACAGCTTTACCCTTTACCTTTTATCATCATCATCTCGGGACTCCCCTTTTGCCTTTGCCTTTAGTACATCAATTTTAACACGAGTAACAGACCACTGGAGCTAATCAGTAAGAAACGTTCTGCAATACAAACTTTCCAAGGTATCCGATATGTGGACAACATCAATGGCAGAGCTGTCCTCTTCCCACGGTATGTCCCCTGTTGGGTCACACATGAAATTCACCATCGACTGCACTGTCTCCAGGGGTTATAGTCTTTGTGAAACTTGCCATCTTTATAATGCTTCAACAGAAATGGCTCTGGAGACACTTTCAGCTTTCAGCACATCTTCCTTGCTTCTCTGACAGAGTGACAGCAGGTGAACCATTCATTAATTGTTTAACTCTTTTACTTCTTTTCCTCCCTTTCTGTTCCCAACCTACAAGATATAAATTAATTTCCACAAAAATGTAAGGGGAAAAATAGGCACTTTGCTATGAAAAAATGTAAAACTTCTTGCATCAGCCATTCTATACCTGAACATGGACTATAGGGAGAGGAATTATGATAGGATAGCGAAATGAAATGGATGGGAAAGGATGTGGGAGAAGGGAGGGAATAAGATAAAGGTAAGGAAGGAACAGAGAAATGCAAAACAGGTGCAAGGAAGCTCTTTTAGCATAGGTGGGAGGAGAGGAATAATGAGGCAGAAAAACAAATTGGAAAGGAAAGCAATCAAGGAGGAAAGGAGATAAAGATACAAAAGGGGTAAAAGTGAGGAAAGAAAAGGGGGCAAAATCGTCAGTTATCAACAGGTTTACTAAATAAAATTTGAGGCTCTCACAGCAGTGACTATGAAGAATGCCATCTTCTGGGATGTGGCACCATGTAGATCTTGTGTAAATCGACGTTTCAGAGGAACATATTGCCTCTATCTTCAGGGTAGAAGTGATGGAAGTGATGCATTCCTCTCAAACATCTGTTTACAAAAGATCTACATGGCGCCATATCCCAGAAGACAACATTCTTCAAGTTTACTAGAGTTTAAAGGCAGAATATTCATAGGACAGACAAGTAACTCACCCCAAACAGTCAACCAACAGCATCATACTCTGACCTTCCACAATTTCAGCAACTTTAAATATTTTCACAATATTTGATGCCTGTTTCTGTGGAACGACATAACACACCACAACATTATTCTTAGTGCAAAGGATCTTCTTGATGTCTATTCTGTCTGTCAACTCTTCAGTAGAAGTTTTCTGAGTATTTTGTTTGGCCTGGAAATGTATTCCACAAACAAGAATGTGTAATAACAGAATAAACTGAATTGTAATGTAATACAATATCTTTGCAGCCTATACAACCTCAAGCTGACATCTCCCATCATCGGGATGAATTAACAAGGAGGAGCCTAACATTTTACTTCAAATGTTTTAAACTTTTAAATATTTTAACATTGACGGTTTAATTTGAGGGCAATTTCGGATGGAATGCGAGAGTTGAACGTGCATTCAATATTCCTGCGAGTGTTGTGCTTTTACACATCGACATTTGTAGCAGCGTCCACGCAGCATATATATACTGTGTACATTTAAACAACACCAGTGTTTTCATGTGTTTGTAATATGTGCCTCTGATGATGGTTTATATTAAACCGAAACATGTAAGGCAAATGTGATAGAGAAGTGACCAAAAAACATTGTTACACTCGACAGACTTTCTATTAACTTTGTGAATAAACTGAACATGAGAGGAAATGAGAAAGAGCTGTAAGAGAATCATTTGGAGAACAGTGAAAGATTATTTGGGGACATGAGGTAGCGCAATTGGTTGAGGCACTATGCTACAAGCCAGAAGGTACTGGGTTCAAGTCCCGATGAGCTGGATTTTTATGCAGTTTCCCTAATCCTTCCAGCTGCACTATGGCCCCGGAGTCGACTCTAACAGAAATGAGTACTAGGATTCTTCCTGTGGTGTAAAGGGTGGCTGGCACATGGGGCTGACAACCTTACCGCCATCTGTGAGCCAAATGGCTAGAGAAAATGTGGGAGCCTCAGTATCTCACAACCCTATGGGCCTTCACAGCCTGTTACTGGGATAGATTTACCTTTGTTTTTTATCCTATGAAAGGTTATTTAGAGACTACTGTCTTCTATAAAGTGGCCCCATATAGTCTGACAGATATTTTACCAAGACGTCACAGGAAAACACTGCTTCATCTACAGGGTAAAAGAGAAAACATTGCTAATCAAGCAGTCTCCTTTATGGTTACTGCTGCTGTGAGGAACTCAAATTCCACAAACGGTAATTTCCATACAATTTATATTATGTGCTGAATTTTACATGAAAACGTTGTCCAGCTGCTGGTGTATGTACCATAAGGTTGCTGCAGGCTTTGCTTCTTTCAATGGCTGACACTGCTACTGGAAAGTTGAAAAAAGATATAAATCACTGGGAACTTGTCAGATTCCATCAGAACTGACCCATGCAAAAGGTAAGACATTACATTCTGATTAGATAAATTTCTGCTAGGATATGATTCCACGCTATCTGGTAAAACGTTACCAACATTTAAAAAACAATTCTTTTACCCTGAAAATGAAAACGGCACATGTTGGTAACAAACTACCACGCTGCATGACATTATTTCCAGAATACATTCAGTCATTGTATTTAAATAAGAATGAACTGTCACAGCAGCAGATAGAATCCAATTTCGTACCTGTTTATGAAAACTGTGCTAAAAGTAATTGTGGTTATCAACAGGGAATGTATCATTATTTACAGTTCACTTAACAATATTGTAAGTAACTCAGACCACATA